CATGATCAGTGGACAAGATGGCCACAAAAGTGATATGCAGAGGGTGACGATACACTGCAAAGCGCGGAGAGAGACCAGAAAATGACGGGCGAGAGAGCACAACGGCATTAGTACGACGACACGGGCAATGTAGGCCGGCATGGGCCTCCTTGGGCCTAAAATCGAAGTTTCCTGTGCTTTGCGTGCCATTTTCCAAGTTTTGAATGCAGTGCAGCCTCTACCAATCGCCTTCCGGACATCTGACACTTTTATGAGGTTACCAGTCGGATCCTCCTTCCGCGTGTGAAGTGGGTCCCTGGCATTCCTACTGAGGCAAAGTCGGATCCTCCTTCCTCGTGTGAAGTGGGTATTGCTTCAGAGTTTTCCTGTGTCCAGTTTTCGTCAAAAAATTTTCGAAAATTACCGAACTTTACCGTTTCATTCGCAGTATATACCCCCCCACCCCCCTCCCCCTAGAAAAGAGTCGTCGAAATTTTCTATAGGAAACCCTTCTTAGTGTTGAGGATTTGCAGAATTAACTATCGCTGGGGGCCCTAACCGTTTGGTACACCATACACTGCTTACGGGTGTCTCCCTCTCAATTCATCTACCTACCCGCTGCTCAGCTTCATTCACATTCTCGATCTGCTCCGGATGCGTTTTGAGGATTTTTATCCTCGGCTTTGTCCACTTTGGCGAAAGCCCGCCCATTGTGGGCGGAGCCTAGGTGAGATGTGTGTGCTCTGCAAATGCTGGCCCATGCCGCGTTTATCCCAAGCACAATCAGTTCCCTTGAAGTGAATTTCCACGAAACCCCAAATTTCAGGCGGTCGGACAGACTCCAGACAAACAAACAACTTCTGGCTTATATATAGAAAGATATAGAGTATGATCCCAAAGTTAATGGCGTTTTAAGAGTTTTGTTGACGGCGTTTTTAAGAGTTTTTGTCCCTGCCACCGCTCAGTTAAATGCAGGTTGCGCCCGTTGTGGGCGGAGTCTATGGGCGGGATCTAGCTCTCTTATTGGTCGGACAAACATATACACAGACAACTGCTTTATATATAGAGTGATGATAGCCTCAGTTTATCGCGGAGAGTGCCTTTAAGCATTACCCTTCAATCAACATTTCTACTTATCTACGGAGAAAACAATACAGTTTTTCCGAAGACCCTTTAAATCAAAAGGCATTTTGATGGATTTTAAACACGTTGACGACATGCGCGTTTTTACTTTTTGGCCGCGTGGGACACGCGCGTTTTCTCGAACGCAACCAGCGCGGTACACACATAGTTCCCACGAGGCGCTTTTTTGGAAATTGGATCGGAAAACTGGATTAGAGCGCAGTTATGAAGTAAGTTAATACTTCAGTATAGAAAAAACCTGGCTGGCTAACTCTCGTTGCACTAGATGCCAGAAATTCGTCCGCAACCAATGTTTTCATAAAAAAAGGTGTCGTGCCCTCTATAGCGTTCAGAATCCTTCACCCTATAATTTTGACCATTATCAACATTGTATCGATCAGCATTTCTCAGCTAAGTGTTGGAGAGCAAACCATTCCAGTGTTGAAGAGCAAATCAGTCCGAGCAAATGGTGATCTTTACCCAAAAAGTATTTGCTAAACTAGTGTGTACTGAATTATTCCATGGACTACGCATAGTACGAGTACACCAGGGTCTGAACTATACAATGATTAAGAGAAACTAACTAAAAAACCATGCACTGTTGAAAGATATGGATTTGTTGATCGTGAGTTGTATAGTATGCACGCTGTCCCACATGGCCTACAACGCGTGCATTCAATGTGTCTCACGCTGTCGTCAATGTGTTAAACGGGCGAGACTATGAGCCACTCTGAGCTTCGTTTTCTTCTTTGCTATAAGAGCAAAATTTGTCCGAAAATATTAGGTCCATAAGGATAGGACAGCAGACAAATTTTTATTAGAAGACAATAGAATAACTACAAAGACAGTAATCCGTTCACATATCCCTCTGCCCGGTCGAAGTTCCAGTCAAACCAGGCAAATCTGAGAGAGTACCTGATCAAACACTGGCACGAGTGAGACCCTGGTGCGGTGCCACAACAGAAAACTTCGTAATCCCCTGATGTGCAAGCAGTCTGCTTAATGCTTCCACGAAACAGTTTGATTGTGGAGCATAATGAGTTCTTACTAGGGAAAGGTCGTCAGGTCGAAGTGGCCATTTGTAATGAGATGTAGCTCACTAGACGTGGTTTTGGACGCTGATCTCGAATCTGCCTTTGAATTTGCAAAGCGATTCTCTGAAAGGAATTATGATGGCTTGTTAGAATTAAAATGAAGGAAAACGGAGTCGAGCGCGGTTGCCAGCCAGTTCGCATGAATAGCCGGGAAGAACCCTTACGTTCAACGGCGGCATGGTGTAGTGGTAATGGTCTTGCTTCGCGGGCATGCCATGAAGGGTTCGAATTTCTGGAAGGGGCTTGTTTTGCATTTTGTGGGGAATGTCTCTTTTAAGTCTAGAAAACACTCAAACGCCAAATGGGTGCCATATTCGTGTTCAGGGAGCAAAACTACCCTTGGGGACAGGTTTCTAGCCAGATGTGAGGTTTTGACCTAACTTTGAAAAGTGCGGTAGCAGTTGATCGAATGATGGTCACCAATAGTTCCAGGGCCATCTCTTGTCGATTGCTTGTCTTTGGACGGAATTTGCTTTTAGATACCAGGAAAACTGGAGCAGTAACAACATGAATGCGTAAGAAGTGGCAAGACGAGGCTTTGTGCAGGAGAATGTATCTGCAGCTGAATAGGTGTGAACATCAACTGAACTAACCCATGGATGCTTCACTTTTCGAAGTCAGGTCAAAATGCCAGATTTGGCTAGAAACCTCTACCTAGGCGTAGTTCGCCCCCATAAATACGAATATGGCACTCGCTCAGCGCGAAAACGCCTGCACTGTGCGCCAAGGGCACCTGTACATCCAAAAATTCTCCTAGATCATAAGGCACTAAGCGCGCCAGTAAGCGAACGCAAACTGTTTTTCAGGCAAGTCAAGGAGAGCGCTAATGTAGTAGTGACGCCACAACCACTTTTTGCCACGTTTGCGCAAGAAGCAAAAAAGTTAAGCTCAGCAGGGATCCGATCCCATGACCTGTTGCGTGGTAAACGCGGCTCCATAACTCCGTTCAGAGAATCGCTTTGCAAATTTTGAAGGCAGATTCAAGATCAGCGTCCAAAACCACGTCTAGTGAGCTACATCTCATTACAAATGGCCACTTCGACCTGACGACCTTCCCTAGTTAGTCATGGTTGCATGAACAGAAAGCTCTTGTGAGGCATTGACATCAGTCGTGCATGTCTCTGTGAGTTGTTCTTTGTTCAATGACCACCCGATCACCGCCTTCCCGTCCCAACGACCGAATATGTTCCTCGAATTTCTTAAAGACAATGTACTGTTCTATAGACCTACGGTTATTACGATTCGCCGGAGGCAGTGGATGCATGTGCTAAACAGGGTTCTATGAGGTTTGCGTGACGACATCCATCTAGTCATTCTTTCCAACTCGTTCCAGCCCTAGAGACTGTCAACACACCAGTGAGGGGTGGCTGAAAAGTCGTGTCCTTAAAGTTGTGGACAAAAATTTCCTCGAGTTGCTCACCGTTTTCCTTAACAGAGTTGCGGCAAAATTCTCCGCATTGATGGCATCATGTACTATTAGGTTGTCCGGAAAGTTCTCAGCGTTTTGTGTTACTATTTTTTGTACATTCATTGCTGATTAAAAACTCATTCTCCCTTGCGTCTCAGTAGTACATCCTGAAGAGAATTTTTTGCGCTATGATGGTGTAATTTCCGTTCCACTATTGTATTGATAACCCCCTTTTCCCAAGACTTTTTGAAGCATGTCAAAAGAGCAACTTCGGACGATATTTTTCTTCAACTACAAATTGGGTCAATCCGCAGTCGAGACAGCTCGACAAATTAACCAGGTGTGGGGGCCCAATAGTGTTGGAGAAAGCACCGTGCGACAATGGTTCGACAAATTTCGTTCTGGAGATTTCAGCCTTGAAGATGAACCTCGTAGCGGTCGACCTAAAGCAATACCTGACGAGGATTTGAAGGCGTTTGTGGAGGCTGACCCATCCCAAATTCGAGAGATTGCAGAAAAGCTAGGCGTTGGCAAATCCACTGTTGCGGATGGTCTGAAACGCATTGGGAAGGTGAAAAAACTCGACAAGTGGGTGCCCCACAATCGGAGTGACCGGCAGGAATCGGCACGTCTCGTTCCTTCTGCATTGCTTTTGCGCAGCAGAAACGACCTGTTTTTGGGCCGAATTGTCACCTGTGATGAAAAATGGGTCATGTATGATAACAGGAGACGTTCCGGACAGTGGTGGACCACCGAGGTAATTTTCAAAGCCGAACCCTCACGAAAAAAAGATTCTGGTCACGGCTTGGTGGTCATCGGCTGGTGTGATCCACTATAACTTTTTATCACCAGGCCAAACCATCACAGCAGAACCCTACTGTGAACAAATCGACGAAATGTACCGAAAATTTTGTCAGCTGCAGCCAGCACTTGTCAACAGAAAGGGTCCGATTCTTTTGCATGACAACGCCCGTTTCACAAATCACTATCCATAAATTGAACGAATTGGGGGTTGAAGTTCTACCTCACCCGCCATATTCTCCAGACCTTTCACCAACCGACTATCACCTTTTCAAACATTTTCAGAACTTCCTTGCTGGAAAATACTTCATCAATCAGGACCAGGCAAAAAAGCCTTCGTGGTGGATTCTCGACCACCCAGTTTTTTCTTTGATGGGATTTATCGACTGGTGTCACATTGGCAAAAGTGTGCTGATTCGAACGGTGCTTATTTCGATTAAATCCGATGAGTATTAAGAAAGTTATGATCGTTTAAAGTGAAACACTCGAAAACGCTGAGAACTTTCCGGACAACCTAATGCTAAAAACATGAAAATTTGAGTGTAATGAAAAATTAATCCCAAGGAAATCGCCTATTAATTCTACTTCAGGGCATTATGGATATTTTAGCAATGTCCAAACTACCTTGTTTTCTCAATACTTCGCCAATCAGGGGCTCTTTTAACAGCTTCTTCTGGCTTTATAAGGACTCCTATTTGGCGAACTGGTGCTTCAACCAGAACTTCTTGTCAGTTTTGTTGCGATGTTTCGGCGTTCTAGTTATCTCATTTCAACGATATGTCTCACTTTGTGAACATGGTCATCTAATTGAGCAGGTGAAGTGTTTGTAGAAAATTGGGCTTTCTGAATGGAAGTTGACGTGAATTTGTACCTCTAGATCATCAACAGTTCACATCGATGGATTCTTCCTGTTCTCCAATGGGTAGTGCCAACAGTATATTCAATCCCACTTCTCCTCTTCAGTAATGCCACTTTTGTGAGTTCACAGGACATGGAGGTGCTGGCTGAAAGACAAAGTATAACGGTTAGTTACCTGAAAAAAGTTTTTTGATTCTACAGAATGTTCTCCTTTTGAGATTGCTACGTCAATGACAGCTCTTTTCGTCTCCATCACTTTCATACTGTGCAGCTTATGCTATGGAACCATATTGAGATTTCTGATCAAAAACCGGAAGAGTAGCAGCGTGTTTGTTTAAAATGCCTTATATTGCACCAACATTCAACTTGTACAGCACTAATCATAATCTTCCAGGGCAATGAAGCGAGAGCGTCGACTGTGTGTACAGTTTTTGGGCCTTTTTGTCGGCTTCGCACTCTTTGTCGTTTTTTACAGTTTGCAATTCACTTTCTCGCTCCAATCCAATGTAAGTGACATGACAACTACAGCATGTGTGATGACCCTAAATTACACCTTCCCCATAGCGGAATTCCAAACAAGAGAACATTGCCTGGATGGTTTCAAAGTACAACCAAACTTTGGATAGATTGAGGAATGGTGGCTACAAACATGGACACCAGTATGTTAGTCTAATCTCACACACATGCTGCGAGAGTACCCCTTACAACCTACTGCGCACTGCGTACATTCGAGTTATGAAGCAAGAAGGTAAGTAGGCTAGTGTTCGCTTGGTTACTTGACACACGAATCACTACTTCGACTTGATCAAATCGCGGAATGTGTCAAGAGTCCTCGTGCTAACAAGGGAGGTCGTTCAGGCCGTGGTGAGCTTTTTCAAAACGATTTGTTGCATGTTGTAGGGGTCCATACAAGGACCACACAGATGGGTTTCATTTTTGCTAAACGCTATTGGGAATGTCAAAAAAGGAATAAAAACAAATCGCTCAAAATACGCAAGTTTTATCATCTCATTCGCATCTGTTTCAGCTGTAAAGCAGAATACATAGAGTGTTCCTCAACTAGACATGAAAAACAATATTGAATAAGGTCGAAATTGAAGTGCTTTACTTTGCATACAGTGAGGTACACTGCAGTTTCTTTAGGGGTTTATGCAGCATCCCTTCGCGCTCGCAGTGGCCATTTAGCGCCACGCTGGCCCCAGATCACGTCGGCGCCATAAATAATTGTCAGAATCGTGATCAGGGCCATTGATTACCCCTATTTAAGAGGTTTCAGCGAAAAAATTTTTTTCCGAGTTTTTTTTTGGTGGTCATGGTGCCATCCGAAATGTTCAATGGACTTGACCATTGGATGGCAGTGACAGGCGAACCACCATTGGGTATCCTCTCTGGCATACAAACCACCAGAAATTTTTCATTTCTTGCACTCTCAACTTCAGTAGGTTTACATAGAACACCGTGCTGGCTTCGGAGTCATTAAACGAGCATCCTGAAACTTTCTCCACTTTTACCGTCTTCGACAATTTCGACAAAGAACTCGTTACCACCTGCCCGGAAAAAAATCTTGTTTCTCCCATATCAAAGGTATTAGTGGTGTGCAGTGTATGTGCCTCACTGTTCTGTGTGGCTGTTAATTCTCGTCTGCATACTAACAAATGAAAAGCCCCTCTTAACGATGTTAAATAATGACTCTTTAGGGGGGGGGAACTGATAGCCACTAGCTGGAGACATGGCAGGCATCATAACACAAAAAACTCGGAAAAAATTTTTTCCGGCGTAACTCTATACGTAGGGATAGTTCATGGTCCTGATCACGGTTCTGACACTTATTTTTGGCACGGAGGCCATCTGGGACCAGTATGGCACTAAATAAGCCCCGCCGCGCAGACTAACAATGGTGCTAGTACGAGAAAGCCTTTGCACCAAATTGGCGACACATTGCGCCATATTTAAAAATGAGTGTCATGTTCATGATCAGAGCATCGGATAACCGCCGTACCCAAGTTTCATAGAGAGTTTCTTCGATAGTATTTCGCGAGCGTAATAATTGAGTGAGGCCCCGTTGTGAACCGTTCCCGCATGGAATGTGTCTTTAAATGGCGTATATCCGGGTCATACACATTATGGGGCATTCGGGAATACAAGATGCAAGAAATCTGAAAAATGCAAAAATGCGCCACCAAGGGGATTCGATCCATAAACCCACCGAATGAGAGCCCTATCCACTACACCATCTGCCACTGCGACGTGGGAGATGTAGGACCTGTTGAAGAGAACTGCGCAGATGACTGGAAAACTCCAATGCAGCTCACCACATGCCAAGTAAAGCATTTGGATTTTGACCTTATTTTGCGCTGTTTTTCATGCCTACTCAAAGGATACCCTACATACTATACCCTGTCAACGCTACAGCTAGAACAGAGGCGAATAAGGTGGTTTAAAAAGTCCATTCTTTTCGAATTATTTTTGACCTTTTTTTGACATTCCCAGTACCGTTTAGCAAAAATGAACCCCATCGCTGTGGTCCTCGCATAGACCCCTACAACATGCAACAAACCGTTTTGAAAAAGCTCACCACGGCCTGAACGACCTCGATTGTTAGTCCATCGAGGTTAACCGAGTCGTTAGTCGTGATTTTACAACTCATGCTCGCCGTGTACGTCTGAAGCACCAGAGCTGTTTGTTTCGTTAATCGTGAACGAGAAGACAGCCACTGTATGTGGCTACGTACGTTGTGC